TTCTTCTTCTTCTTCTCCTTCTCCTTCTCTTTCTCCTTCTCCTTCTCCTTCTCCTTCTCCTTCTTCTCCTTCTCCTTCTCCTTCTCCTCCTTCTTCTGTATTTGGTATAGGGTCTTGCTGCGCAGCTCGGTCATAGTGATCCTCCTGTTTTCAGCCTCCCCAGTGCCGAGATTACAGACATGTGCCCGCACACATGCCCAGACTTGCCCCAGCTCAGCATGCCCTGGAGTGGGGCTGGTGTGGCATGTGGGGTCCCTGTGCTTGTCTAAGAAGACACTTAGTTTCCTGAGCTGTCTCGCCGGCCCTCAGAATTTCTCCTTCCTTGTATCTGTCTTTGAATTTAAAACCTTAACTTGAGTGGATGAGGTGAGTCCACATAATACAAGATAACTTCAGTCTTCTAAATTAAATCCAAATTATACATAAAAATAACTCTAGCAACTCTTTAGAATGGTGGTCAATCAAACCAGTAGGTATCATGGCTTAGCCAAAATGAGACTTAAAATTAATCATAGTACCCTAAGGTCCTGGGCCTTAGGGGCTGTGAAAATACTGCTTCATCTTTTCATAGAAGAATGTAGACCCATCTTGACATAAATGCAAAACTATGAAAAACACTGCCCCCTCCATTCTTGTTGCAAGTTTTTCCAACACCTGTCAGCTTCTCTTTAGCTGTCATAATTACTGATGGCATGGGGGTGAAAACAGTTATCGAGAGATGCTCCCTCAACTTTGATATGCATCCTGATTGTTAATTAATTACTCATACTCAGAAAAAGTTCTGGGGTTGCATATTTCCAACAAGCACCAGAGGCTTTTGTCCTGTGCATTTCAGGGATATCCCACAGCTCCGAGAATCTATTAGAAGAACAGGAGAAAAGGTAAACTGAGTTAAATGGAGTTAAGGTACTGGCCAATGTAAGGAGGCATCAAGTGCTTGAATTTTAAGATCTTCTTTTAATGAAGTTCCATCCAAAAAAATATGAGGGAGAAACAGTTGATTCTTCCCTGGAGTTAAGGATGTGGAGGAGAAGTAAAAATGCATCATAAAACCCTCCAGACTGAAACACTCCAGTGCGCAGAGTATTTCACTTCTGACACCCGAGGAGACTGTGACACAGGAGGTATTTCTCTCCCATCAGACTTATCAGGCCAGTGGTGGTGCCTGTTAGTGGTGGCATAAGCCTTGGTCTCTCTTTGGCTTGTGTTGTTTATAATCTGCGTGACCCTGAAAGTAGGAAACCAGGCAGGCAGCGACCCTGGAGCCTTCGCACTTCCCTGGTACCATGCTGGCCATTTTCTCTTCCTGGCCAGGCTGCTGTGCAGTTGTCTTATTTTGTCTGAGAATATAAGCTTAGCTGAAGCGGCCAAGAGTCAGAGCTGAGGGTTCGAAGCAGGTTTGGTTTGGAGCAGAGTTTACTGCATTGCACACCTTTGTTTCGCTCCTTGTTACCGGCTGGAGTAGACACTCTCACCGGTTCCCCCTTGACGCAGATTGAAAAGCAAGTGCGGCGGGCTCTGCCAAGGCCGATCTGTAGATGAAAAGATGACAGACACCACACTGTCTTAAGGGAGTAGAAAAAACTTCAGTTCCTAGTCCTGATTTTCCAGATCATGTGATTACCTTTTTATTCTGCTTTTGTTTTTGTTTTTGTTGCTCTGTTTCCCATCTGGGTCTGATGTGCAGAACTCCGTAGTGCGAAAGGACCTTGACTTGCCTGCCTCGTGCAGACTAAAATCTTCCCAATCCTGTGGTTTCGTGCAGGTCCAGCCCCTCACAAGACTCTTTCTGCCTGTACCTTTTGACCTTTGAATTTTAGCTTATGGAGAGCTGTTATTAGCACACAGATTGAACATAAACATCTGGGAAGGAAAATAGTAAAATCAGTCTCTTGTAATAAGACACATCCCTAAGATCCAAACTAGCTTTCTTTTGAAGAAAAATGGCTGAACACAGAGGACAATCCACTGGAGTGACTGACAGTGACCCTGTTTCCTCAGCCGAAGGCCAGGACATGCCTCGCCCGCGCTTTCTCCCTGCTCACGCTCCACAGAGCCGGCCTGCTCTCAGCAGCCCTGTCAGCGTAGACTGTGCTTGTCACGGGGGCCGGCTTCCCGCCCTCAGGTTCCAGAGCATGCTCAGTAACCAGCTTTTCTCTCTCTGTCCAGCTCGCTGATGACCAGGGCCTTGTTCTGATGACCACAGTGGCCATGCCCGTGTTTAGTAAACAGAATGAAACTGTGAGTATGGGGGTTGCACTTTCCTCTAGGGACAGGAGGGCTTCCGTCTGGGATCCCTTCTCATTCAAGCTCTGGTGACTTTTTTCCCTAAGGTTGGAGGGTGTTCAATTATTTTTTCTTACTATTCCATCCTGCTGTGAAAACAACCAAGTCAAGCATAAAGATAAGTCAAACTGACATCAGTTTAGCGATTGCAGCGCCTTTCATTGTTTGCAAAATTTCAGTGTGGAATGAGCAGAGGGGAGAAGACAGGGGAATCCCTGATGATGGCATGTGAGCTGAGTTCTCATCAGCTCCTGTTTATCAACTTTCTATGTATTTCCAAGCACCACACACTGGGGCTGCTTATAAAACAGAAATTTCTTCCCTAGTAGTCTGAGACCAAGCTGTTAGCGAGGCTGCATCCCCTCAGCAGTTTATAGGGCAGAATGGAAGAATCCTTCTTTGCCTCGTCCCAGCTTTAGGGACACCTGGCATCCTTTAGTTTGTGGAAGCAACTTTCCAATTTCTGCCTCTACTTTTAGCAAGTGGCCTGTTTGCTCCGGTCTTCTCTGCTTATAAGGAGAGCAGCTGTTGGGCTCAAAGCCCACCCTAGATCCAGAATGATTTCTAAATGTCCCAAACTATTACATCTGCAAAGACCCCATTGCTGAGTAGCACCACAGTCAAGGGTCCCGAGTGACCATGAGTTTTCAGGGATACTCCTCCAGCCCTGGCACCCTTGGAAGGAAACAACAAATAGCCTGAGCTTGTACATTCTTCCTAATGGCCTTTGTGACTTTGGAAATTCCAGCAAATCACAGTGGCCACCTGCCTTGGAGCCTGGGATGGTCATGTCTCTTCCTACACCTTGCTCCTTGGTCCCAGTTTGCTGCAGAAGCTGCTGGGCTGGTTGTGTCTCTTTTTTGGTCATTTACTGCCTCTCTCTTCTGAGCAGCAGGTGGCAGTGTAAACTGAGAGAGTGGTTACCTTGCTGTCTTTCCAAAAGAAGCTTTTGTAGGAGGAACTAATTCCTGGTTAGAATCCTTAGCTGCTGAGGTCACTGTGCTCTTTGATGTCTGCTTTGTATTTCTGGGAAGGAGAATAGGGAGCGGATTAAAATATCTTGGTATGTAGAAGGAGTGGGACCTAGTGGCTGATGCTTCATCTAAGACTCCACCCTCTTTGCCTAATGATATTTTTTGTCTTTTGTACTTTTTTTCTTTTTTTGTTAGGGGAATTCCCACGCAGGACCTCACACTTGCCAGGCATGTGCTGCTCCCCGAAACTAAATCCCTGGCCCTGGCTAGTAATATTTTGAGAGGAGGGTAAAGCACAGAAAAGGGCCTTCTTAGGAATCTGAGTGAATCTTCACTCTGTAGCAGTCAGAGGAAGGCGCTGGGTGTGATCTGTGGCAAGTGGCGTCTCATGAGCTCCTGCCTGGTTTGCCCAGTTCACTTAACGTTATTGTTATTCACTGTTCATTTTCAACAGCGGTCCAAGGGCATTCTTCTGGGTGTGGTTGGCACAGATGTCCCCGTGAAGGAACTTCTGAAGACCATCCCGAAATACAAGGTAACGTGCGACCTTACGAAGGCATCAGAGCAGCTCAGAGACCGCGAGTGTCATCGCTCTACAAGTCATGCTTCAAACCTCCCTTGAAAGCAGTGTTCCCACCCCGTTGTAAACAGTTACTTTGTCTTTGTCTAATCTGCCCAGTAATGTAACAGACATTTTTATGTAAATGGACTATTTATAACCTCAAACTCCGTCAGAAGAATCAGTGTGTAAGGTTGTGTAAATTGCAAGGTTAGATGTGAATATTTGATTTTTCTGATACAGGCAGGGCATTGACATGACTGATTTGTCTTATGAAATGACGGCATGGAGTGACTTTGGGTCCTATTCAGAAAACTACCCCTCTTTTCCCAAATGAGAGGGAAGAAAATCTGTGAGAAGAAAAGGTGAAGTGTCTTCAGGGCCCAACCCAGGCACACAGCACTGCTGCAGGGCCTCTGAGTGCCCGCTCGAGGTGGGTCAGTGTCTTGCCCTACGGCGAGTCCTGTTGTCCCCTGGGCAAAGGGCTGTGCCACCTGCGCAGGGCTTGAGACCATGCCCCTTTCTCCTACCTGGTTGTCTAGCACCTGGCTAGCTTCTTTGCATTTCAGGACCTTCATAGATTGACAAGGGCTCCCTCTGCCTCCATGCAAAGGAATGGTCAGGATCAGAGATGGCTGCCCCTCCCCCAAAGTGCTGAAGTGTGAGTCTCCTCAGTGATGAGGGATCTAATAGCCTTTCTGAGCTGCAAGTAGAAGAAGGCAGAAGGCAGTGGTCGGAGCTCAGCCCAGGAGGTTCTCAGCTCCACTGTGGCTGAGATGGTGTGGGCAGTCCCTCTAATTCATATTTCCCCATCTGTCAAATGGTGACAGCCAGCTACATATTCCAAGGCTTTGCAGTTGGAGTTAAATTTCCAAAAGCATGATGGGATTTCTAATTCATCCAAACCCACATAATCAAGTATTGGAAGTGGTAGGTTCCAAAATCTGAAACTCAGGGAATGGTGAGGATATATATGTAAGGGAAATGGGGGTAGGGATACTTTGTGGCCTCTAAAGAGAGGGGACTTTACTTCTTTGAAATACTCAGGCCAAGCTTTGTGCAGTGACAATATCATAGCCAATGAAGTTTATCCCAGACACAATGATTGCTAAATCCCCGGGGCCTGGGTGTCCAGACTGCTGCCCTACTGTAGTGGTGCCTCGGTTTACAAACTCAATCCGCTTCATGATTCTGTTTGCAAACCTACCTGGGTAAAGACAGAATCAAACTTTCCAATAAGGTCAAAGTTGAGTGAACCTAACTTTTGAATTTGATTTGGTTCTGGTCCAACTTGGTTTGCAACCAGAATTATGGAAAGAATTGAGTCAGTGAACCAAGGTACCACTGTATTTAAGGAAGAATGTCTGTGCACAGAGACCATTCCACAGTTCTTAAGATTCTGATCTCACAAGAAGAGACATCGAAATCCAGGCCCAGGACCACTGCGCGAAATGCCATGCCAGAGAAGTCCAAGAAGAAGTCCATATAATATGGAGCCCTAACAGTTAACCTCTAGTCAACTTCTCAGTTTCCCTAGGGAATGTGCTAAGTCGTTCCTGTCACTTTTTTCTTCATAATAGAGATTATTGTCACCTCTTTTATGCCTAAAGAAACCGATACACAGAAAGCTTAAAGTCTTGCCGAAAGGGAGTACTGTTATTTTATTTTCCATAACGCCAATATACTAGGAACAATAAAAGCAATGACAGTAGTAATGGTGATAGTTGGAATGTTAAAATAAAATATCAGTAATAATTAAAATACAGTAAGACTTTTATTGAACTTACTGTGTGCTTGGTGTAGTCCAAAGTACTTTCCGTGCAGTATTCCCATTAAATCCTATCTCCCCCTCCCACGAGTGGGTTCCACTTGGCCCTGTTTTTATTTATGGATACATTAACTCTCTCAACATCACTCACTGAGTAAAAAAGAAATGAAACAAAGCATAACAAGAGGATAGGGGAAGCTCTCCCACGAGAAATGAACCAGCAGTGTTTGCAATGGAAGCACTTGTGTTTTATTCTTTCCGGAGCGTCCGGCTAGGAATTGGAAGCACAGGTAGGTATGGCCTGAGATGTCTGTCGCTTTCTGGCTCTCGTAAAGAGCTTTGGGAGAGGTGTACATCTCCACCAGAGATGGCCCCGGCCAACAGGAGAGAAGAGCTTGGAGGAACAGAGTTCGGGTCACACCTTGCCCCCCTCATTAACACCTTGTAAAGATGAGTCAGCTCTTGGCTTTTGGGTTTTTTTTCATAAGATAGAATTCTTTCTTTCTCCCTTAGCTTCATAGATTTCCCCACAAGCGATCAGACTTCCTGTAATTTTTATTAAGAATTCCAGACACCCCAGCAATAATTTCCAGACACCATGGCCTCTGTTACCATAACGAGCCATTTTATAATTGGGTTCACTTCATTAGCCTGAAGGTTCTCCGCTTGGAAGGGAAGTGCTGCCCTCCCCAGGCTGGGTCTGGGCGGCTCCCGGCCTCCAGGGGAGTATATTCGGGGCCAGGGCCCAGTTTGGCAGCCCCGCCTTGGAAGGCCTTGTGTCTAATCTGTTCTCTATTATACCACAGAACTGCACATGCAGATAGACAGGAAGACTGGCTCTATTTTGGATGTAACAAGAGTGAGGGATTTCATCAGCAGATTGATTTGTGGCCAAAACCAAATGTTGGCCATTGTCATATTAGGAACTTTTGATTCTTAGAGCATTTCATCCACACAATGTGTTTAGAAGATCCCAGAGTTTCTTTTTTAGACCAACAACGGGTGACATCTAAATGCTGCTATTCCACAAATACGATCTTTAGATGTCATTTTCCCAGAATGTTCTCTTGGGAAAGATTCTAATCAGACTAGTTTGATGGTCTAGAAGATTCTTCAGTGCAAGGTGGAGAAGGCCTGGCTATGCATCTGCTAGAGCAGATCAGCTTTTTTTTTTTTTTTTGGCTGGCTTATTTTTAATGTTTACTGTTATTCAAGTTCTCTAGATGAACTAGGTGATAGTTGAGTAAAGTAATAAATGTCTTGTGTGTATGCATGCTTTAATTGAGCACTGGCCATGTGGCTGACTGTAGGCCTGGGGCTGTAGAAGTCAATGATGAATGAATCTTCCATGGAGAGCCCACCTTCACTGGAGAGGCGCTGCCTTCCAGAGCAAGGCAGGTGGAAGGGGAATCGCCTAAGATCCTGAGGTAGCAAGGTATAGGTGTAGTGTGTGTGTGCGCACTATGTGAAAGTAGAAGTGAAAAAAGGTGGTGGGAAGGAGGCCAAACAGAAGGTTAGGGGCGATGATCCTGAGGCTGATCTCAGAGCACTGGTGAGAATTTGCTGGGGAGGCAAGGGCACCGCGGGCAGCTGGCACAGGGGTGGTGGTGGTGTGAGATCTGGGTGAGGGAAGGAGGTGCAGGAGTTACTGTTGCCAGGTACCCCAAGAGGCAGTAGGGGGAAGAAGGCAGTGTGGTACTTAGCTGAGGGCCAGACCCCAGAGAGACCTGATGGGCAGCCCCATGGAGGCTCCTACATGCAGAAGCTTCATTGGGCTTTGCACAGAGGGGCTACATGCTCAGAGCTAGCTTTGATCAGCCCTATGAAGCAAGAAGAACAGTGAGGACCACTGTGGAAGTCTGTTGAGCTAAAGTGGTCAGGGGGGAAGCAGGGGTGGATTTGCAGGATACCTGGAAAAAATAATAGGGTTTAGTGATTAGGCCTATTAAAAGGTTGAGGATAAAAGAGAAAAAGAAGCTAAGGCACCCAAGGGGTGGCCAGCAGCCGACTGGACACTGGTAGTGTCACAGAGTAGAGAGCCTGAAGCTGGGAGACGTGGAGATGATAGCTTGTAGGTGGTTGTTGAGAGTGAAGGCCCTACAGACTGTGTGAAGGGGAAGAGGTGCTTGAGGGAGGGGCAAAGAGGATCCTCAGGAGGAGGAAGAGGGGACTGCGGGGGACAGGAGGGAAAGCAGAGGGTTAAGAAAATAAAGAAGATTCAGTGGGAGAATGTCCTGTAGGGTTAGGGAAGTAGAAGGACCCTGGGACTCTTTAGAAAGAAATCCTGTGGCATCTTGGGAGGTGGTGAGAAGATAAAAGCAGAGTCCATGAGGGTGGAGAAAACTTGGCGGGTGGGAAACAGGGATGGCAGATGGATGCTGAGGATGCCACTTGGTGCTCCTGCCCTGCACAGGAGGAAGCTGAAAGCTGAGCTGAGCTTGGAAGATTCTGCACTAAATTCTGAATCCTTTTGTTTCTTCCTTTCCCTGCCCCACGACCCCCCATCCCAACCACCCTGCCATATGTTTTTGACCACATGGCACGCCCTTTATCCTCATGGACTCCTGGAGCTTGCGTTCTAGTGGGAGGAAACAGACATCAAATAATGAAAGGCCTTGACTGATGCCTTGATTCTTTATAATCAACCTAACACAAGATTGATCTTATCATTTTCATAAATACTATATAAGAAAAATAGAGGGCATTAAGAAGAGTCTTCCCTTCTGAGAATCACAAACAAAAGAAGAAAAAGAACCAAAGTCATGTACATTAGAAGATTCTGAATGTATTGGCTATTAAGAAAAAAAAGTATGCTTGGCGATGTTCACTTTGAATTTCCGATCAAATACCACTTTTGCCTTTAATGGAAAAAGTCAAACTCTCTGTCCTTTTTGACCCCTCCAGCCCAGGTTGAACTGGAACGTAAGAATGCTAATTAATGCAGCGTTGAGTGTATCTGACATTTTTCCAAGAGACAAGATGAAAGAGACGATACACATCTCAAAGGATAGGAAATCTCTGGTTTATCTTTCGCAACATAATGAAATATATTTTTATCATTAGACTCTAGTAGAATCTTATTAAGACTTGCTGTGCAAGATAACTCTGGAAGGAAACGTTGGTTGCCCTTGACTACGGGGTGCATATTTGCTTTATGTAATGCAACGGAAACTTTTAATTGCTGGTGTTAAATTCTCTGAAGTTAATTTCACATCTCCTTGACGTTAAGCTAACAAGCAGACAGGGTCACTCCTGGTTTGTAAACTTTGTTGTCTGGATCGTTTAATAGTATCATATTCAAGAATGTGAGTGGCAGAAAATTTAAAGAAAAATAACAAGGAGAGCTCAGAACTGTGAAATGACTTCTCAGAAAAAAATACAGATTTTTTTTTTTTTTACCTCTTCCTTTTTATTGCTTAGGCAAAAATGGTTGCATTTTCTTTTTCTTTTTTGAGAGAGATCAGTATATGTTTTATGCCAGGGGCTATTTTGATACATGAATGATTTGTAGGTAAATTTATTGTAGCCAATGGGTGCAGTCAACTGTGTAATAGAAATATTGTCAAAAAGCCGGGATTATTATTTAAATAAGTGCAGTGTTAAATTTGATTACATACTTTTTAAAGCTAATAAAACATTTCATTGCTCGCAAACTATTTCTCATAGTCCCATTTAGTCAGAAAACATAAATTAAGTAAGGCTCTGAATAGAAAATTACCCTGGCTTTGTGTCGACGGACACATGCACGGAAACGGTTGGCTGCCGCACAATTTAAAGACGAAAGGACATAACGGGGCTGACAGGCTCCCACGTAGGCTGGTGGAGCCACTTTTATCCTGGAAGAATTATGAAAAATGACAGCCCTGGAGAGAGCACATTTGAGACAGCTCCTCTGGGCCTGGGACTGGGGGACAGCTTGAAGCGAGGCTGTGTGAAGACCCCGTTTGCTTAGTGTGGGTGGCGAGGAGATGCCCAACGTGGAAAGTTCTGTGCTCAGAACACAAGACCTTGCCAGAAACATCAGCCAGGTTTTATTTTTTTTTAAAGTAATTGTTTTTGTTTTAAATAATCCCGAATAAAGCCCTTGGATACTAACGGAGGGTGGTGACATTTTAAATTGTACTATTTGCTGAGCTTATCCTGTGGCAGGTCTTCATTTCCAACAAATGTCAAGGATCAGTGCCTTGCATTCATTTTAATGAAATATTGTGCTGATAAGGGTTATGAATGCCAAGTTTAAGCTGTAAATTACTAAATGCCGGCTGCTTTACGCTTCGTGAATTCACCAGGGAGCAGGCTAATGAAGGTTTCTCTCTCGTTTCCTTTTACAGTTAGGGATTCACGGTTATGCCTTCGCAATCACAAACAATGGATATATCCTGACGCACCCCGAACTCAGGCCACTGGTAAGAAAAATGTTCTGGTCTGTTTTTCCTTTTGTGCTTTGTGAGAGATTTCCTTCAGTTCTACAGTAATGACACAATGCAGCAATTTTCACTTTCAAGCAGATGAGCTCATAATATTGTAAATATTGTTGTAACAGTCTATACATTGATACACAATGTGCTAATAGGATAAGCATATTTTCTATCATGCTTTTATATATAAAAGCATCTGCCTTCGTCTATCTCCAGTTTGCTAGTTTCAATAAACACCTATAAATATATGGAAATGTTTTATTTAACTCTAAACAGCTCACAAGCCATTATAACAGGTACTTTTATATAAAAAAATTAATTCACACTCCCTCCCGAAAGCCCTTTTGCAAGTGACACTTGGTACAACAGATGGAGTACGCGATCTCTGAAGTTTCAGCACACTGGGATTTGCACCCAAATTGCATGGCTGAAGGCAACTGCCCCATTCATAGAAAGTTTTCAAATCCTTCTTTATTGAATGGAAACAGTGGAGAACTACTGTATCCATTTCCTGCCCAAGTCATTTTTTGGTGACCTGCTGTAGAAACCACTCTTTCCTTCCACACATTTTTTAATTTCTCTAAGAGTAGGACAGGCACATTCAACCTTGGTCTCCTCCACCCTGACCCCCAGGTAGATGCTGCTGAAAGCCCCTTGTGAGGGCAGTGAGGACTCTGAGATGGCTAGCAGTATGGTCAGGAAGGGGCCCTTATCCACAGCAGTGTCTTCTCTGGACTCCGCTTGCCGTCCCTGCACCACTTGCAGTATGGTATGAAAAGGACCTCCTGTTAGTTGTGTGCATGTTTCTTTAACTTTAAAGAAGATATAAAAGTATACAGAATAATACAGCGATCCCTGCTTTTCAAAGTTAAGAAGGCATTGGTCGCTTACAGACACACACATGCAGACACATGTGCCTGTGCAGAAGTGCACATGTAATCCGCCTCACACGTATTCTTCTTCCCTTTCTTAAGAATCAGAAACTAGCACTGGGGCTATTATGCAAACGTGTGCTGGCAAAGTGTTGCGGGGGCAGTTGGCTTCTTGCTTGCATCATTGTTTAGGAACAGTTCATACGAGAGCCCCGTCATCAGCCAAGTTTGCTCTAATCACCCTGGTATTAATGGAGTCATAGCCGCATCATGTGGACCCCATATGCTTGCCTGCAGATGGGACTTACGGTAATACCTGACGGCAGCAGTCTTTACTATTGTCAGAAAAGGACTAACATTCCAAATGTTAATCAAAATTATTTAAAAGTCTGATTGGGGGTAAAGAAAAGCTGACTTTATAAGGAGATTTAAGTCTGCGGGCATGTTTGAGTCTACAAAGCTTAATAGTCCATTATGAACCTTTGGGTTGACCAGTTGGGGCTGTTTGTTGGGAGTAGCAGGGGGTGGGTGCATGATTGCTGTGGTTGAGTGTGGGCTCCCAGTCCTCGCTTTTCCCCAGCTGGAATAGAACGGAGTCAATGAAACAATCATGCCTACATCTTTTGCCAGTAAATCAATTAACTTCATAAATACTGGCTTTTAATGGAACGAAATGGAGCCAGAAGTCAGCCAGGCAGAGTCTGTCTCTCCGCAGCAATGGGAATGATCGCCTGCCTTCCACGTGTTCTAGTCTCAGTGTCTTCCTAGGCTTCGGCACTTCTGCATGTGCAGCGTAGCCTGTTTACTCCTAGTCCAACCGGTGGACTTTCCATCACTGTGGCCATGATGAGCACAGCTGAGAAACTCCTTAGAAAAGCAGGCCAGCCCGGCCAGTACTGTTCATCTTCTGATAGCATAAGGTCTCTCTGATCCAAGTCGCTTCTGTGCTGGTCACTGTTCAAACACTGAAGTGAGTGGTTGTATCAAAAGCCAGGGTTAAGTGTCTTGGAGTGACCCAAGAAAATGTCCCACGTCTTACTTGTGAAAGGCCAGTGATATGAATGTATTGCAGTGGATACAGTAAGGGCATAAGGAGTGGCCAGGCCAATGGGCCATCTGTCTCACTCATTTGTTTCTAAATATGATGCCATCAGATGTTGAGGAGAGGTTTTGGGTGACACCAGACAATAAGGATGTCACCAATTAACTTATCTTCAACAGGATGAAAAAATGTGTGTTCACCTTGCCTTGAGTTTTGCATATCCCTTGTGAGCAAAAAAGCAATAGCAGAGTAGCACTTAGTCATAGTTAACATCCTACATAGTCAACTCCTTGTCATACCACACTCTGAGTCTATGGTTTGAAGCAAGTCACACAGCTTCTCTGAGCATCATTTTTCTCTGCTATCCCTGCCATACCTGTAGTGCATACATCAAAGCTGGTGAGGGGAAATGAGATGATGAATGCAAGAAAGGCAGCAGGTGAGGCGCCAGTGTCCTGAGGGCAGCGGCCTTACTCCAGCATCGTGTTTGTGGTGGTACCTTGCTTCTGCTCCTCTGTGCCCAGCCACTCTAGGGGACATAGCGGATGCTTGGTGGGGTCTCAAGAACACATCTTAGTTATTCAGTTGGTTCAACTTCTTAAGATAAACATCAGCAAGGGGCCATGTAGGTGAACACATGCTTGCGCTCTGTCTCTGTCTCTCTTTCTCTCTCTGTCCCTCTCTCTCTCTCTCTTTGTCCCTCTGTCTATCTCTGTCTCTCTGTCCCTCTATCTCTCTTTGTTTCTCTGTCTCTCTCTGTCTCTCTCTCTCTCTTTCTTCCCCATTCCTTCTCTCCCTCTTCCCTTCCCTTCTTCCCTCCCTCGTTCCTTCCATCCTTCCCTCCCTCCTTCCCTCCTTCAAGGTTTCTTTTGTATGTATAGAGCAGTCTTAGCCTCCTCTAGCCCAGAAGACAGATAGAAAACAACTGTCTGTGAAGCTATAGGTGAGCCCTGCCATATGAGTAGACTTTTCTGCTTATTTGTCTTATAGTAGCAATGAAGATAGTACTACAAGACATATAAGACTGGAGAAGCCTCCAGAGTTACTCCAGGCTCAGGCCACTTGATCCTTTATCTCTATTTTGTTCTCTTGCTTCTGTGTTTTCTCTCCTCCTTCCCATTGGTCCATTCAGCACCTAGAAGGAACTCGGAAGATGAGTGAACAAAGGGATCCTTCAGATTTACTATTTGCATTGTCATTTACTTTGGATTCCTTTAGAGGATGTCAGTGATTTCTTCATTTGCACTAGCGACCCAGTATCTGTACTGGGCATACATCCACATGGCCAACCGTGAGCACAGCTGCTGCCAGGTTCTTTTCTTCCCGGGCTAGTTCAGGCATGAATCTCTCACAGGTCGTGTTGTCTCCCTCCCAGTCCCACCACCTAATGGGATCCCTATTGCAGGTGGACAATCCCCTTGTTTCTGGTGAGGAAGGCAGGTATGAGTGTAGGGTTGCGGCCAGCATGGGGAGGATGGGGCAGGCTCACTTACAAAACTCGTGTTTTGTCTCCATCTTTATCTGAAGTTCTTTCTGTTCCAGCAGCCAGAAGAGAGAGGTGGGTTTCTCTGTAGCACAATACCAATCTTTTTCTAATTTAGCCAAAAAAAAAAAAAAAAAAAAAAAAAAAAAAAAAAAAAAAAAAAAATCCTTCCCCCACACTTAATGCTTGGCTTGATTTTATCTGGTATTTTCTTTGATCTTGTATGAGTTGGGTGTGAACAATGAAGTGTGTGCAGAAACAGCATACGCATAGAGGACTTTCTCAGTAGACTCACTTGGGCCTCACTGGCAGTGCTACACGAGTACTACTTTCTTGTGATAATGCCTCCCGCCCCCTCAACCTACTCTGCCTACATTTCAACCGCATGGCTTCCCACCAGCTTGTGAGCAGACATTCACTGGTGCTGACTCAACAGGCCTCCGCCAGGTTCAGTGCAGTCCGACATTGAGCTGTGCACTGAGATAGCTGGCCGTCTTTCAGTGGTAAGGGGACCCTTCCAGAGGGGCCCACTCCTCTTCTCTGCATGGGGAATGGCACCCTCGCACAAGTGGACTGAAAGTCAGACCCTGAGTGGTGCTTCTTGTATCCTTATTCTTCACTTGACCATTTTTTCTAAGTCTCTACCACTAGCAATCAGCCTAAGCATAGTTCAGGGTACAGTGCCCCTGTCTACATGTCATTTTCTTGCTCTATATCTTTCCTTTGTCTTTGAGCATTTTGTGGATCTTTCATAGAACACAGAGCCTTGACCGTGTCTCTTCTGCTCAGGGGACAGAGAAGGGGAGGACTCAAAAGATAGCCCCTGTAGCATGACGTTTCACTCTTGTTGGGATTTTGATGATCTCTTTGTCCTTCCCTTTTAAAAAAAATACATCTAAGTTGGTTTCCTTCTCTGAAGGGTGAATGGAGTTTGTCAAGCCTCCAAGAGCACCCAAAGCAGGTTCCCTTTCAGCAGCCATAAAATTGACAGGCTTCCATGAGGAGGAGCTTTGGGCAGGCAAAATTTAGGGCTCATTTGTACAAAGCCCATGTAGAAAATTTCCTGAGGCTGTCTTCTCTGTGTCTGCATGCCTTGGAGCTGAGGGGAAATACTGGAGGGATTCCTTTCTAGGTAAAAGTGTGCTAGTCCCATGGCCCACTGTGTAATAAAATGGGATGTGGGACTGCTGGAGAGGAATTTACACTTCTTTCTGCAAATTCCATGGAGGCCCACTGTGTTCTGGGCCTGATCAAGCTCCCCACAGAGGTTCTACTAATGTACCGAAGGCAAGATCTAGTAGAGTGGATGAGATATCAGTGCGTCTAAGGACTGAGCAACACTAGGGCAAATTCATCCTTTGTTTCTTTGCTATTATTATTATTGGTTTTAATATGTTTTTCCAAGATGCACTAAATCCTTTTTATGGGACAGGGGCTGTTTTAAATATTTTCCATGCATTAGCACTCTTAATCATTAGTTAATGGAGTAGGAAGCTTAAGACACATGAAATAACCTGGAGGCTCAGAGCAGGAGAAGGGGGCAGGCCTGGGTAGAGGCCCATCTAGAAGGCAGCCCTGGAGTCTCTGAGCA